ATTTATAAACCGTCCTTCTATCCAAACAAATTTGATTCACAGAAGCTTCAGAAAAAAGAACAAATAAGATTTTCACAGATTTCTTTTAGATTCTAAGCTTTATCATTAATGCAATGCATGTCTTAAGGTGTAATACCACCAAATCATAGTACGTCACATCCGGTTTCATACAAAAAAGGTCAAAAACAAATATTTTCTTTAATTTGACAGTTGTAGGAAGTTAACCCTGTATTTCATTTCAGATAAACAAATCTGAGTCATAAACATATATCTTAGGTGTTTCAAAGCACCATTCTTTTTTTATTTGGTGTTTCTATAAAATATTTCGGAAACTTGAAGTAACAGTTACTAAAGCTTGTAAAAAGTAAAAAAGGGGGTGAAAATTTGATTGGTTTACTTCCGGTGATGGTTATTGTCTTATATGCAATGAAATGTTAAGTGAATTTTTCACGGTAGTACTTGACAGGATAAACTTAACTCATCCCTTAAAAGTGCTTATCATTTTCTTATAGGCTACATTTTTTTTGTAAGTCTGTACATAAAACCATAACAACAATGATTGATTTAACTTTTATTTTATTAACAATTAAATAGTACTACAAAAGTTAACTGAATCATTTAATTATATAAGGCAGCATTGTGTGCCTAAGGAAATATACCTTGAAATTGATCATATGTTTGTTGTTGAATACATGCTTCATTTATGAGGCATAAATGCTAATTTATCTTAAAACTTACATCAATACAATATATTCATAATGTACCAAAATTCATAAGGATAGTAATATAAGCATGCTTACAATCAATTTTAAATAAATAATTGTTCTAATGAAATAAAGGTAAGGACAAATAACAGATATTTGATCTCTTTTTTTGGAGACTGATCTCCAGTTGGATATTTCCAAGCTGTAGATTTAAAACCAATAGATTTGTGGGAAAATTTTTAAGTGTACCGGGGTATTTCATTTCATAATTTCAGACTTTTCCAAATACAAATCAATGAAAAATATTAACAACTTGTTTAGTGTAAAAAAAAAATTAAAATACTTTTCCATGTTCATAACATCCCTATACAAAATAACTATTTAGAATGTTTCATATTTCATAATAACCTTTTTTAGAAAGTAAACTAGAGGCTCTCAAGAGCCTGTGTCGCTCACCTGTATTAACTGATGCTTTGGAAATCATGTAAAATTAGGTTAAAATCATAATTAATAGTATTAGATATTAGATATTATAATGATATCTAAGATAACAAAAAACTGCAAAATTTCTGTAAAATTACTAACTCAGGGGCAGCAACCCAACAACGGGTTGTCGGATTCGTCTGAAAATTTCAGGGCAGATAAATCTAAATCTGATGAACATTTTTGCCACCTTTCAGATTTGCTCTAAATGCTTTAGTTTCATAGATAAAAACCAAAAACTGCATTTTACCCCTATGTTCTATTTTTAACCAAGTCGGCCATGATGGATGGAAGGCGGGTCATCGGACAAATTTTTTAAACTAGATACCCTTATTATGATTATGACCAAGTATGGTTAAATTTGTCTCAGTAGTTTCAGAAAAGAAGATTTTTGTAAAAGATTACAAAAATTTACGAAAAATAGTTAAAAATTGTCTATAAAGGGCAATAACTCCTTAAGGGGTCGACTGACAATTTTGGTCATTTTGGACTTATTTGTAGATCTTACTATGCTGAACATTATTGCTGTTTACAGTTTATCTCTGTCTATAATAATATTCAAGATAATAACCAAAAACTGCAAAATTTCCTTAAAATAACCAATTCAGGGGCAGCAACCTAACAACCGGTTGTCAAATTTGTCTGAAAATTTACGAGCAGATAGATCTTGACCTGATAATCAGTTTTACCCTTTGTCAGATTTACTTTAAATGCTTTGGTTACAGAGATATAAGCCAAAATCTACATTATACCCCTATGTTCTATTTTTAGCCATGGCGGCCATCTTGGTTAATTGGCAGGGTCATCATACACATTTTTGAAACTATATACCCCAATGATGATTGTCGCCGAGTTTGGTTAAATTTGGCCCAGTAGTTTCAGAGGAGAAGATTTTTGTAAAAGTTAACGGACGACGGACAACGGACGCCAAGTGATGAGAAAAGCTCACTTCGGGCCAGGTGAGCTAAAAAGTACATATCCGATATCATCTGTGAAACGGTTATTCCATAACGGTCAACCAACTCATGAAGGCGTCCGTAAAATTTACGAAAGGATGATTTCAACTTCACCATTTGGAACTCTTGGCTTAATAGCTTCCTTATGAGCAGCAATCCTCTATCAAGGAAATCATGATAGGAAACACAAGCCCGGGAATATCGTATCAATTGGGAGATATATACTCTGTATGCAGGCGCTGCTGGAATGTTGCTACATAGAAATGGAAAGTTCACAATTGGGAAGCTGAAATCATCTCTTTTGTCGTAAAGTTTTGTTTTCAACAGACCCCCATTGTCAATTTCTAGATGTAAGTCAAGAAATGAGGCAGACTTAACTGTATCTGTAGTATCCTTTATCTCTAGTTCGATGGGATAGATTCGTTCAACATACTCACCAAATTTTGTATTATTTAGTGAGAGAACATCATCTATATAGCGGAACGTAGAGTTAAAGGATATTGCTAACTTCTTATCTTTCTTCCTAAGAAGTTCCTGTATGAAGTCAGCCTCATAATAATAAAGAAACAAGTCGGCAAGAAGAGGGGCACAATTGGTTCCCATTGGAATTCCGACAGTCGGTTGAAAAACACGTCCTCCAAACGTAGCAAATATGTTGTCAATCAAGAAATCAAGCATCTTGATAATGTCAGTCTCAAAATGTTAACAACTTTTATCTACACAATGTAATATAATGAAATATATACCTTAATAAAAATAGATTATTATGTAATTAAAGGATTTCACTTAATAAAATATATATATATATATATATACATGTAGCATTCAGAAAATTAGTTTATACAAAATAACATATAAACATGCCACAAAATTCCTCAAACAATTTACCAAAGAATGTCTTTTAAAAAATGAGTTATCTCCCTTTGTACAGATATATGGTTTAACATATTACTGTAACATTAGTTATGGAGTTTTTTTAAGGACCATAACTCTGGACTAAATCATCAGACCGGAACAAAATTCGAACTTGATCTATAATTTGTCATGATAAAACTATATACTAAATATCAAATCAATATCTTCAAGAACGAAGAATAAAAGTGTGGAAAACTGAGTTGCCGGACTGACGGATGGACAGACGGACAGAGTGTAAACCTAAAGTCCCCTTCGACTTTGTCGGTAGGGGACTAATAAAAGATTTAATTCATTCACTTTATATAAGAAAATCATTCATTTTTTTTGCTGCAACGAGTCTTATCAAACAACAGCAAATATGTAGAAAAAATGGAGAATGTGTCCATGGGATACAGATGATGCCCCTGATTGCATAGAACGTTATAAAGCGACATAACTGTTAAAGTGATGCCACCCAACATTGATCTTGATCTGTGTTTTGTGGAAATAAGCATTGTGTATAAGTTTCATAAAATTTGGTTGAGGCAAACTTAAGTTAGAGAACAGAAACCAATTTCGGACACACAAGGTAAACTTTAATCCCCCCTCCACTACTGCGGGGGCATGCTTAAAATTAAAATGAAACCATATAAGAAATAATGATTTGTAGTTACTGAGAAAAATGCAACGGAAACTGAGATAGACAGACAGACGGACATAGGGACAGACAGGGGTAAAACGATATACCCCCTCTTTCAGAGCATGGGTATAAAAATAATTTTATCTAGTTAACAGCAATAACCAATGAATATGGATACTTATATATGATACCAATTCAAAATGAATATGGAATTTTGGCCTTCCATAAATAACAGATATTTACAAATCAATGTAAAATCCAAGGAAATATGTAACAAGTGTAAAGTCTTATCAAAACAACAATATTAAATGCATAAATTAGTAACAAATTTGAATAAATTAGTAACAAATTTGCATAAATTAGTAACAAATTTGCATAAATTAGTAACAAATTTGCATAAATTAGTAACAAATTTAAAAAAACATTTTGTTTATACATTTACATCATTTAAAATCATTAACAATCTATTTTTTCTAAACATTAACATCATTACATAGATTAACAACATATAATAAATTACATTATTTTAAGTTAAACAAGATTGAAAAGTTTACTTTAATGATATAATGCAACATTTTCATAAACGAAAACAATACAGCGGGAAGAATAAAGCAACAACTAAAAACCAACATATAAATGTACCTATTTATTTGGCATTTTTTTACCTTAGGGGTACTTAGGCTTTAGGGTTAAGGTTCATTTATGGTTAAGATCAGGTTAGAGGATGTTCTAGGTTAGGGTAAGGGTTTGTGTTAGGGTAAGGTACATAGTATGGTTTACTGTAAGATTTAGGGTTAAGGACAGTTTAGTAAAGCTCTATAATGGGTTGGGACCCTTAAAGTAAAAGAAGGCCAAATATTATGTTATATATAAAAGAGGTTAAGGAATTATGTTAACCATGTTAACTGATCTGTAATTATTGGCGGTTTACAATTATTTGCAATTCTAAATAAAATATTAATCATTGGCAATAGCATTTGCTGTGTGTTCTAAAACCTCTGTAATATCATTTTTGTTAAAAGAAAATGGGGAAAATTGTTGACTGTAATTTTGTTTTTCTTCTTTGAATATTTTTGTTTTTGTATTTGTAGAGATAAACAAAGTTTAACATATACAAACTGGTACAAACCCAAAAATATCATGCCTTTCAAGAGTACTGATAAAAACTAGTGAAATTAGGATTGTTGAAAAATGAACACAAATGTGAGTTAAATATTTGTGATTTTAGAAAATGCTGCTAACAAATAATGCTATCAAAACATAAAATGCGTCGCAATTTTTGTGAGAACTACCATTACAAAAATTTCTGAATTACCACTGTTTTTCAAAATAAATTTTTTTGAGGATTTACTAGGATTTTTCCCATCATTGTCTTTTTTCTAAGACAGTATGGACAAAGATGAAGAAACCATGTTACTTGTGACCTCTGGAAAAGCTTCCCTGTATAGAAACCAGACAGTAGTTTATTCTATTGATGCTGGAACTGACAGGGAGGTTAGAAATGCCAAACAGAAATAATTTAATTTTTAAAACACTGTAATAAAAATTTGAAGTTTAGGGTTTTTACTGGGATTTTAACATTTTTTTACAAATATCAAAGGCATCTTTAGGCATGGAATATGACTGACTTATAATTGCAGTGTTTTTTTTTCATATTTTTACTCTTGTACCCTTTAAAAAAACTAAAGACTCAATGAAAGACAAAATAACTTGATATATGCTGCAAACAACATAAGCAAATTTCCCAATTAAAAATAACAAAATGAAAAGGATGTAAAAATATCCTTGAAATGTAAAATGTGATAATCTATACTGTTAATAACATAGTGGTGGGGATTATTAACTGCTGTATACTGAAACTAAAGATTAAAACTTATTTAAGTCTATAGTGTGAAAGGTTGTAAAAAAGTTTTCCAATTCACACTTAAAAAATGCCATACCATTTCTACAAGTAAATCCATAAGAGGTAACTAACATTATATTTGACACTTATACATAGTCAAAATAACTTTTTTCTACTCCATTATTATCATTATTATGATGAAAATTTTAATGACCTCAACAAACTTTTTACTGACCTGATCCATAGGCCTAGGGCAAGTGGTTAATCAAGAAGACTGTCAAAATAGACTCATATGTGTCCGAGTATTTTCATGCATAATGAAATGTATAGCACCTTTATAAACACATATCATATATTATTCCATTGTATCTAAATATTGATTGCAAAATCAACATTTCTTTGGTTGAGGCTATTCCATGTGACATTGAACAAAACTTCATATTCCACTTCCACTATCATATTCCCCTCTGAACACATAGACACATTTGACCATACACATGGTAAATGTACATTTTTTGACAGTTGAGTCATCATCATGTTCAAAATTATTTCAGACGTAAAACAATACAGATAAAATCATGTCATAAAACAAATCATTAACTTTGATCTATGCTGTTTATCAACGTTTATGTCATGTAGAGTTATAAAAGCAACCGATAAGAAAAATGTTATGTTAATTATTGTTATGTCAAAAAAGTATAGGCAATGGAATATAACATTTATTCCCTTGGCTTGGGGTGATATGAAGATTTCTTCACCATCCAAAAATCATATTGCCCTTGGGAAATATGAATTTTCTTGGGTGAACAAATTCCACTGCCTATATTGTTGAGTGCTTTCAAATAGTCCTCAGTCAAGTGGTACAGTATAATTATACTAATAAGCAGCTGAAATTGTGACCAGTACTAAACTGGTGTAATTCTGGATTTTGATAAAAGTTTTTTTCATTATGACATCACACTATTGGTAGAATCTTACCAATACTATCATTGTTGTCCTATCCAAACACAGTTTTAACATTTGAAAGACTCAAATACATATGGAAGTAACAATTTCACTCTCAATTTGCTCCTGAGTTACAATACTTCTCCAATTTGATAGTTAAATTTCAATATTGATATGCACCTTAAATTTAACATGTTGAAAATTGAAAATCAAGATATCTTGAGTGGAAAATATTACATTGTAAATGAAGGATGAAATATATTTATTCATCTAGTATAAATTTTCCTGAGTCTGTCTTTGTGTCTGTAGAACTCCACATTGCAATACGTCCATCACGACTTCCTGCCCCGCTTATAATGTATCTGTTTTCAGCACAACACAAAGCCCTGACTGCATCATCGTGTGCCTGAAGACGTTTGACTACTTTTCTTGTTTCCGTATTGATAATATGTATGGTACCATCTTTGCTCCCGACCCAAACCTATGGGGAAATTTACATGTGTCACTTATACTCTATTTTCTAAAAGTTTTGTATACTAGTAAATTCAGAAATTGTGTGCATTTATCATTGAGATTTTTGATGTATAGACAAAAATCCAATACTGTTTATTGCAATTTGAGATATCAGAATGCAAGTTTTTATTATTGCAATACTCACTCATTATTCGCAATAATAAAAACCTCACAACAATTTCTGAATTTAAAGTAGATTTAATTCAATTTCTTCACCTGTATATAAACACATGAAATATATAACTTGTTTTGGTATTTGTGCCTTTCATTTAAGGAATAACAGTACTAAAATTGAAGAGTTGCCGCCATCAATTGAGCGATTTGACATTTTCGAAAAAACAGTTTTACTGGGGATGCGTAGAGTAGCATTATTTGTGAGTGTCTAATCTCAATTGACTGCAGCAACTCTTCAACTACAGTACTGTTATCCCTATCCTAATGTATAACACACAGAAATTGTACAAAAAAACTTGTAGAAATTTAAGATAAACAAAAATTCTGTGAAACTTTACGAATGATTTTGGTGCATTAATCCTCATCACCATGATGACGGCATACAAATGATAACTGCAGGTTATATCATTACTTGTGCAATTTAGTTTTTGATAAAATCTAATTTGAAACAGCGTTTTTGAGGTAGCTTATATTTCATTTTTGATTTATTGTATTAATTGAACAGTAAAGAATTCAAGTAATTCAAAATGGCAGCCCAAGGCATGTCAATTGTGGATTTGACAGTAAATTTTAACCATTGAAAAAAGTTGTTACATAAAGTCAATTTCTTTCAACTATCTGGTTGATTTGGCCATCCTTCTGCTTTGATTCTAGTGCCATTGATGAGTGAAGACAGAAGATGTTCTTATCATAATAAACTAAATGCCTGGTATCTTTGACGAGCTTTTAGTGTTCGTAACTTGTTGTACAAGATCTATATAAAGTTATAAGATATACGATCTTTTTCCTTAAGTAAATTCAGCCTTGTAACAAACCTTTTGTTCCTGTTGTACTATAGAACTTATTCCTTCACATTTCTGTATTTCTATAATTTCTTTCAGTTTCCCTCGTGTGCTGTCCCATATCAAAATAATACCAGACCGTCTATAGCCAGCCCATATCTACAATCACAGAAAGGTAAGATATCACATATCAATATAATACCAGAACTTCTATAGCCTGCCCATATCTACAATCACATCTAGGGATAAGATATCACATATCAATATAATACCAGACCATCTATAGCCAGCCCATATCTACAATCACAGAAGGATAAGATATCACATATCAATATAATACCAGAACGTCTATAGCCAGCCCATATCTACAATCACAGAAGGATAAGATATCACATATCAATATAATACCAGACCGTCTATAGCCAGCTCATATCTACAATCACAGAAGGGTAAGATATCACAGATCAAAATAACACCAGACCATCTATAGCCAGCCCATATCTACAATCACAGAAGGATAAGATATCACATATCAAAATAATACCAGACCGTCTATAGCCAGCCCATATCTACAATCACAGACAGATAAGATATCACATATCAATACACCTTATCGCTATTTGTCCGCCATTACTGGACATCACAAAAGTTCCCGTAAAATTTTGACGTCATAATAGAAAATATCTGACGCCACAATGGAAAAGTGATAGTTGTATGACGTCAAAAGTTCAAGCGGGACAGATTCTCGGGTCAAGCGGGAATAGCGATAAGGTGTATATAATACCAGAACTTCTATAGCCTGCCCATATCTACAATCACAGGGGGATAAGATATCACATATCAATATAATACCAGACCATCTATAGCCAGCTCATATCTACAATCACAGAAGGGTAAGATATCACATATCAATATAATACCAGAACTTCTATAGCCTGCCCATATCTACAATCACAGAAGGATAAGATATCACATATCAATATAATACCAGACCGTCTATAGCCAGCCCATATCTACAATCACAGAAGGATAAGATATCACATATCAATATAATACCAGAACTTCTATAGCCAGCCCATATCTACAATCACAGAAGGATGAGAAATCATTCCTTTAGTTGAATTTGTACTTAAACATTAAACAAGAATGTGTCCATAGAATATGGATGCCCCACTCGCACTATCATTTTCTACGTTCAGTGGACCGTGAAATTGGGGTCAAAACTGTAATTTGGCATTAAAATTAAAAAGATCATATCATGGGGAACATTTGTACTAAGTTTCAAGTTGATTGGACTTCAACTTCAACAAAAACTACCTTGACCAAAAACTTTAACCTGAAGCAGGACAGACTGACAGACGAACAAACAGATACACAGACCGAAAAACATAATGCCCTCTACTATTGTAGGTGGGGCATAAAAACAATATTTTAGTATATGGAGGTAAATCTAACCTTACAACAAAAACTAACCATCATATAAGTTCAGTTTGCACAGTGTTTCCCTGTATACAATATCATACTATATTTGCTATAAAGAGAGGTTTTACAAAGAATTTTTAAGGTCATCTTAAGTTTGTGTCCAGTAATAAAATATCAATAACCTTAAAAATTAAGAGTTAATATTATTTTTACAGAATACTGAGCTATACAACAATAAAAGTCAAATTAACATTAGGTTCTATGGAGTCAAAAATGCTCAACTAACATCTGTGCATAAGCTGTGCACAATCGGATTAACAGCAATATGAAAGCATGATCTCTTTTATAGCTTGCTAGGCAGGTTTTTGTAGGATTGGTTTTGCTCATTGTTGAAGAGTGTACAGTAACCTATAGTTGCTAACTTCTATGTCATTTGGTCTCTGGTTGAGAGTTGTCTCATTGACAATCATACCACTTCTTATTTGTATATTAGCTTAGATGGACTTATTACTTAGGAGGAAATGATTTTAAGAGTACAACAAATAAGTTTATCTGATTTTAACTTTGATATTTACATCAAGGACTAATTAACATTTAGGTAATTAACAGTCCTTGGCTTACTAGCTACAGAGAAAATCATTAACATAAAATACTGGCCTGTAATTTCGTATGTCGGTAGGTCCACGTATTAAATGTTTTGTTAATGATATGAACTGATTTATTGGACAAAGGAAAGAACTGGACTTGAAGATAAGAATTTTATTAAGATTTTGGTGGATGGCATTACTGAAAACACATTTGGTTATGGTAGCAACATTGATTTGTGGGAATTTCTTTTCCGAAAAATTGTAAATTGTGAACAGACACCAAGGGATGTTACCAACTTGCATTTGACCTCAGGTTATATGTTCTCACCTAATAAATCTTTGCTATTAGTTAAAATTACCTCTCCACTCTCACTTATATGGAAACTATCAATTTCTGGAGATACTTCCCGAGATATGTCAGCTTGACTCGATCTCTGAACAATAACTGGATATTTCTGTAACAAATTCATACTCAAGTCTATCCTGTACACAGCAACCTTGGTTCCTATAATCATGATATCAATTACAATCTATCTTTAATACAGAATATTTCTACTGGAGTCTAATTTTTACAGCCCCTTAAGGACTTGGCAACCTTATTTCCTCATCATGATGACAGGATATTGTTTAGACAACAACAATTTAAATTCATCTTTTAAACAGAAATTTTTAATTTTGAGAACATGATGTTGGATTTTTTGCACCTTAATACAAGTTCTAGTATTTTAAATACACGCAAAACCTTAAAAGGAGAAGCGGCTAATATCAAGCGTCAACTTGTCAAGTCTCTAGCCTGACCTGGCCTAGGTTGAAACCAACGACACATTATAGGTTAGCTGGCTACCCTGAGACCACCAAGACTGGCATTTCTAACTATTTTGATCTGAGTGTCACCGATGAGTCTTATGTAGACGAAACGTGCGTCTGGCGTATCAAGTTATAAGCCTGGTACCTTTGATAACTATTTATCAAGTAAGTTCTGAACACATTGTAGGCGCATTAGCCGAGTTACTATACGGATTTAAAGTAGAAGTTGGTTGGATAATTTGTATTTTGCTTGTTTTTGTGATGATGGTTTAAAGGCTGCTAACATTTTATGTCAAATACTGCCAATAGCTGATACTTGGGCTAAGGGATATACTCATTTTAGAAAAAAAACTGCAGTAAAACTAACTTTTGACCAAGTGATCCACCAAAGATCTGAGTTATTTATCCCAAAGTATGATCCACCAAAGATGGATAAAGACTTGAACATTTCCCAAAATTTCAGTCTATTCACATGTACTGTGATCAACGCCATTTTTTAACCAAGGCGAATTCATTTTTTTAGTAGCTTTAATGAAGACCACATTGTGGCAATATTTTGGTTTATTGACGAAATCTTTAAACAATATTTCTTACTTTTACTGAACATATTTTGATGATGCCCAACTTGGTGCAGAAAACCCATATGCATTTGTTTTCATGGATATAAGACGTACCTACAGACCCTTATCATGTGTTCATGGATATAAGGCTTAACTACAGACCCCTACCATGGTATCATAGATATAGGGGTAAAATATCGACATAGCACAAGATTAAATAATGTAAATTCAGAAATTATTGTGATGCTTTTAGGTGAGTATCACAATAATAATATTAGTTATCTTGGTGTAATCAGGGGTGTACAGAATTTTACACCGTTGTTGAAAATTCATACACCCTGAGGCGCAGCTGAATGGGTGTATGAATTTTCAACAACAGTGTAAAATTCCGTACACCCCTGATTACACCAAGATAACGAATTTATTTCTTATGAACAATTCCTTTACTCATTTCTAAACCGGGATGTAAAATTGAAAAATGCTAATGAAAAATTTCTAGTGTTATATTTTTTCAACGTTGATGTTGCTGCGTATTGTCATATACTTTTTTCTTTATTTTGGGGAAATTCAGAAAAAAAAAAAAAAAAATTTAATTTTTTTACAAATTTTTGTCCTCAAATTTATTTATTTTTTATTTTTTATATTTTCTTATTTTTTTTTTTTTTTTTTTTGACATTTTATTTATTTTTATTTTTTTATTTTTTGACATTTTTTCTTCTTCTTTATTTTGGTAATTTTTAAAATTTTTAATTTTTTGGCACAATTTTATTTATCCCGGGGTGAACAAGGATGGGTTGTTATTTACACCGGGGTAATTAACCAATCAGATTGCAGTATTTTTGCTGCATAAGAAATGAGAACTCATATTCTGATATCTGATACAAAATCTGTATGCAAATTATTTTTCTTAAATTGCAATAATCAATATTGCATTTTTGTTCATTTTTCTAAAATTACAATAATGAATGCACACATTGATTTCTGAATTTACAGTATTCTCCATTTATTTAAGTTTTCCTAATGAAAAGCCACTTACCACACCATAAGAAACCATTACAGAATTTGAGCCTCCTCAGATCTTTGATTTTCTCACTGCATTTATCTACGACTGTAATTGTCTGTACATCCCACTTCAGAATGTCACCATCAGCACTGGCTGTGTATACATATCTAAAAAAACAAGTCTAAATTGAAAACAACGTTCAAACCTATGATTGCGCTGGATAAAAACCGCAATTTTTATACGTGTGCATGCAAAAAAAATAAACAGCTGCTCCATGAGCGCATGATACGCCCGTCGTCTTGTGTGTGAATTGTTATTCAATAATCATAAATAGTTTCTGACATACGGCCTGACATGCGAAAACCCCTTTTTTTACAAAAAACTCAATATCTCTAAAATAAAATTTTGAATCAAAACCAAAAAGTATACAGACCTTTAGATTAATATAACTAAGAAGTGTGTAAAATTTTAAGCAATAATCATAAATCGTTTTTGAGATACGGCGCGACGTGTGAAAACCCCCCTTTAAAAAAAAAAAAATCAATATCTCAAAAATAAACTTTTGAATCAAAACCAAAAAGTATACAGATCTTTAGATTAATATAACTAAGAAGTGTGTAAAATTTAAAGCAATAATCATACATCGTTTTTGAGATACGGCGCGACATGTGAAAAACCCCTCCCCCTTTTTTTACAAAATACTCAATAACTCAAAAATAAAATTTTGAATCATCACCAAAAAGTATACAGATCTTAAAATTAATATAACTATGAAGTGTGAAAAGTTTTAAGCAATAATCATAAACTGTTTTGATATACGGCGCGACATGTGGAAAAACCCATCCCCCTTTTTTAACAAAATACTCAATATCTCTAAAATAAAATTTTGAATCATCACCACAAAGTATACAGATCTTGAGATTAATATAACTAAGAAGTGTGTAAAGTTTTAAGCAATAATCATAAATTGTTTTTGAGATACGGCGCGACATGTGAAAAAAAAACACACACCTGTTTTAGTTACTAAGTCCCATAACTCAAAAAGTATTAATCTTATTTTCACCAAGAAGTATACAGATCGTTTGACCATCATGAGAAACAACTATGTTAAGTTTCATAAAATTTGGATAAGTCGTTCTGATGTTACGGTGCAACATGTTTACGCCGGACAGACAGACGGACAGACGGACAGACGGACGGACAGCGGACATCTGTATACCATAATACGTCCCGTCAAAAATTGACGGGCGTATAAAAATTCTTGGTAGAGGGGTCTAAATACAGCACAAACAACATTTTCCAAAAGACCTAAAAAGTGAAAAAGTGTAATTTAACAAAACACATTTGACTATAGCTAGCTGGTCGAACAACGAATTTTCTTAAACCCTGCTGACTGCCATGGCGATTGCCAAATAAATGGATCACCAGATGTAACAAAATTTAATATCAAACAGAAAACAATAAACTTGCGGAAAAGATGGTATACCACAAACATGAGGTGAAAAAATTTGTACACCATATCCGGATTTCGACAATTAATGTCTCTTCAGATCTAAAATAATATATATTTTAAACATCAATATACTGGTTGGGTATAAATACCTAAATATATACATTAAAAAAAAAGATTACTATGCCGTGGCGAAATGTCCCCTGTTGTATAAATGAGGAATTAAATTACTCCCATAAAAAGGGCCAAATTAAAATGATGGTATCCTGTGGTCAACTACACATGATGGCAAACAATACTACAAAGTTTAAGGGCTTTTTGTAGAACAGTGTCTAAGTACCAGAACTCCTGTAAAAAACGGTCATTTCAAAATTATATTTAGATGGGGTGCAATATTGTTAACCACATATAATGGAAAATAATCCTACCAAGTAAGTATGAGAGCTTTCTGTGAAACAATTTCAGAGATGTTGGGTTTGCAAAAAAGTTTTATAGTTACAATATCCCAAAAAATATTTGAATCAAAATGAGGTACAGTATGCATGGTCAACTACACATGATGGGAAACAGTCCTACTAAGTATGAGAGCTTTCTGTTAAACGGTCTCATGGAAGTTGCGTTCACAAGGTGTCATTGTTAGAATATCAAATAAACTGTTAACACAAAGATATGTCTCGCCTTTTTGTAATTTTGATGATGCAAATGTTGAAATTGAAATAGCAATAATTTAACATGTAAGTTATGCAAATATTCAAAGACAATGAACCATGACAGAAGGTACATGGCTAAACAATCTCCATGGAAATGAAATGTGCCAATGCTAATACAACTGCATACCAAATACCATTGACTTATCATAAGTCGTTCCCTTTAAACAAACCTAAACACAAACATTAAATTGTAAACATGTTTAAAGTTTCAAAGTCAATGAACCATGATGAGGGGGTGGAGCTATATAATCTTTGTGGAAACGAGACTTGCAAATGCCCATAAATTTGCATACCAAATATCATTGACTTAACATTAGCGGTTCATCTTAAACTAATCTAATCACAAACTGATACATATAAACTAAGCAAAAGTTTCAAAGTCATAAGACCATGACTGTGGGGGCGGTGCCAAATAATTCCCATGGAAATGAGATATGCCAATGCTTATACAACTGCATACCAATTAACATTGGTCTACCACTAGTGGTTCCACATGAAGTGACCTCATCACAAACAAATACATGTAAACCAAACAAACGTTTCAAAGTCAATAGACCATGACTGAGGGGGCAAGGCCAATTAATCTCCATGGAAATGAGATGTGCCAATGCTAATACAACTGCATACCAAATATCATCGACCTACCACTAGTGGATCACCATAAACTAGACCTAATCACAACCCCTACAGAAAAAAAAGTTGAGGGCCATGTGGCGGACAGTTGAGGGCTTGGTTTTAAGCAAAATAGTTGAGGGCTAGGTGTTGAGCAATTTAGCTCAACTCAAACCTGGCCAAGCACTGTATGTTGGATAGATGTCGCTCAACTGGCCCTCAACTGAAGCTGGCCATTAAGTTGAGGAAAAGTTGAGCAATTGATCTTTGGTTTTCATGTAGTTGAGCAAAAGTTGAGCATTCAGACTTTGATTTTTTTTTGTAGTTGAGGGAAAGTTGAGCAATTGATCTTTGGCATTCATGTAGTTGAGCAAAAGTTGAGCATTCTGACTTTAAATTTTTTGTAGTTGAGGAAAAGTTGAGCAATTGATCTTTGATTTTTTGGTAGTTGAGGAAAAGTTGAGCAAATTATCTTTGATTTTAATGTAGTTGAAGAAAAGTTGAGCGAAGGATCTTTGATTTTTATGGAGTTGAAGTATAGTTGAGCTAAAGATCTTTGTTTTTTTTGTAGTTGAGAGAGAACCCTTACAGAAATGAAAAGTTTGCTGCAATATTGCAACTATATTGCGGCAATATTGCAGCAAAAAAATTTGTTTGCAAGAAGTGTTTGCAAGAAAGTTGCAGGATGTTGCAGCTACCTGCAACATTCTCGCAATGTTACTGCAACATTATTTGATTGTGAGAAAATTGCAGCAAATTTGCTGCAATGTTGCAAGAAAGAGTTTGTCTGCTAGAAAGTTGCAGGAACCTTTTCTTATATTGTCTAAGGAATAACTGTTTGCAACAACTTTACAAGAAACTTTGGTTATACCTTATAGTTCAATTCATGTTACTCAGAACTATTTGGATACTTGAATTATTTAAAAAAAAAAAAAAAAGATCTTCAAATAACAATTAATGCTTATAAACAATTTCCTAAACTGTACTACAATACATTTATGATATCTTGTAAGAAAGAATTTCAAGAATGCTTAAGGTTTTTATTTCAACAAGTTTAAACTAAATAATTGTGACATATTAATTTTTTCCTTATGACTTTTTGTCCCTTTTTTATGACCTTTTTCTGTGAACAATGTTTTTATTTTTTCCATCTAATGAATTTAGCCTATATGTTGCAGGTTACATTTTGTTTAATTTCTAGTATCATTATTTAATTATATGTATACACAAATTATTTGCATGCCCTCTTTCTCATCTCAATTAGAAATATGAGCCGGTGATATAAATGTTATGTGCCATCTGTTTTCCATTTATCTCTGTGTAGTGCACGTAGACAGGAAGTATTATTATAAATGTACACAGAGTTTGAGGCCAAATTAAGGGAAGCACATGTTTTTATACATTTTTCTGTAATTACTATAACTCATAACACAAAGATAAAAAACAAACAATATTTTTTTTATTATAATATATATCAAATATTCAAGATTTAGGTAATTAACAGTTATTATTAGGGGCACATTTCAAAGGGATCACACTGTCACAATACCCTAAACAACCTCAAACAAATTTAAAATTTGAACTGGGCATGAGCATGCACATGGCAAGCAAAGATGTCTTCTAGCTATCATGAACAAAATATGAATTTTACAATGGATGTAGATCAAAAAGTTACAAATAACTGTATTGACATTGAATAGTGCAGATGTATTCTTCTGATGACATGACTCTTGGATTTAGGAAGATTGATATTTACACTTAATTATGGATAACATCTTTTGGTAAGTACATTGGATTAGAATTTCCACCATATGCTCTTTTAGTTCAAAATAGTGATATCTAAAGTTTCTTCTTAACTTTTTAGAGCGAAGAAAAAATTTAGACAATACATTTTTGCATTAATTTATATATTATCAAAATGTGTAAGACAGGAGACATATTTTTTTTATTATTAAGACAATTTGTTTTAGAAAGTATTACTAATAAAATAAGAATCTTCTAATATAATGAATTTGGTATAAAACTAGAGATCTGGGATATGACTGCCAATAAGACATCTATCCACAAATGACAGATAAATATATATATCTTTTTTTCTGGTTGAACAACACTTTCTGTTTTGAGTATTTTTGCAATGTGCACTTTGAATACCCCCCTTTGTACTGACTTTTGTCATTTTGGTTTATCAAGGGGTGGGGTAGAAATTTTTAAGGAAAGAAAATTGTTTTAGGGTTAAATGAGCAGGTACACTAAATACAGTTAATAGGTGTAATAGAAATTTTATTAAGGCCTTTAACTATAATTTAAAACAATTTTGCTTAGACATAGCTAGAGCAATTTTACTAGCCTCTGGTTTAAACTATAGAGTGATCAATCATGAAGACAGCATTTAGAATTTTTTTTTACAATACTTTGCTTTATCGGGGCACTCTGACAGTAACAGATTAAAATAGTGGGGAAGAACAATTTCATAACATTTTTTCTCTCAAATAGTGAAGCAAAGTATCAGACACATTCTTATCTTGTATTTATCCACATTTGTTTAGTTTAATTGATTTGTATAATTGGTTAAACGTAGGCAATACAGAACAGACTTTTGATGTAAATGTTTGTTAAATAACATTTAAAAAATATGATATATGATTATGTCATCTTATTAATTTTACAAACAGTGTTTTATCACATTTATAGTTATCATAATTATATATATATATAGGTTAAATTTCTTTTTACTTTCAGACTTTGGTCTTATCCATTTCAAGATGTTGCCCACAGATGTCATACGTGCAATTAATGAAAAAATGTACAGTGGAAGGAAGATATTACAAAAGAAAGAAAAGGACAATTAAGGATTTTTCAACATTAAACATTGTTTCAATATATATCTTACTTCTTCTTGCATAAAAAGTAATATGGCTGCAGGATTAACTAGATTTTATTTACTAGATAACTTTTAAAAAGCAAGGATAAAGCTGTCATGTAGTCTGTTGTGAGTTTAGATCTGTCAGCAGTATTTTGGCTATATAAAATACACAATTTAAATTTATTTTTTCTACAATTTGTAGTCATCAGTTTGCAATGACCAGCTAATGCTCAACTTTTAATGACCTGGCCCTCAACTATTGGCCACCTAGCCCTCAACTTTTAATGACCTGGCCCTCAACTATTGGCCACCTAGCCCTCAACTTTTAATGAACTGGTCCTCAACTGTTGGCCAGGTAGCCCTCAACTCTAATTGCTCAACTGTTGGACACCAAGCCCTCAACTATGATATTTTGCTCAACCTTGCTCAACTAATTTGCGTAAAAGTTGAGCAATTGATAGTTGAGGGCTACCTAATTTGCATGGCAAAAATCCAGGTAGTCCTCAACTGGCCCTCAACTGTTTGCTCAACTGGCGGCCAGTTGAGCAATGCAGTTGGCCATCCTATCATTTTTTCTGTATAGGAAACTAATACATTGTTGATGCCACTGCAGCGCCTAAAACAGCATACCTATGTCTCGCTTTTCGACTCCGTCATGGTGAGACAAAAACAATGTTCAAAATCCCATAACTCCTGTAAAAATTTAGGTAACTCTTCAATTTTGATTTGTTTATCAAGTACATTTGCCTTTTCAAAGCCAGGCACCAAATTAAACTATGTTTTCTTCTAAATCATGTTTTCTTATATTTTCAATAGCTTTTAAATTGGTTTTATATATTCTTAAAGAGTGATGAGTTTTTTAGACAGTTACTTCCCCTTACCTGCCATCATTAACAACAACAATACTGACAACTGAGTCAGCATGGTCGGTCAGTGGAGCTCTGTTACATCTCAGGGTTTGTACATCAATGATGTAGATATAATAAGATCCTGCCCAAATTTGTTTCCCACCAACATCAGCCAAACACATCTACAATGTAATAATGAATTACACTTAGGGCTGTTCCATGGGGGTGAGGGGTGATGGTTGTTACTTTTTTACACTAGCGATTTTACATCAAGGAATCAAATATGATGTTGTGATTGATGCCATCTTTATTCAAATCAAATAACTCAACAGAATGAAAGGCCTAAACATCAACAGCTACTTCATGAACTGCCTATATAAATACTTAATTGTCATTTCAGGACCTTTTATAGCTTACTATGCAGTGTAGCTTTTGTTCATTGTTGAGGCCATTTGGGGACCCATAAATGTTAATTTCTACATCATTTGATCTCTGGTGGAGAGTTGTCTCATTGGCAATCATACCACATTTTCTAATTTTCATATATTTACCACAGCAGTTTTAGTCTGTATAAAGTGTGATTCTAAGTTCCATGCCATTGCATCAAATATTTTTATTTTTCCATCTCCCATACCACACCAGAGTCTCGGTAAAACATGCTGTTGGGGATCTGAAAGATAATGTAAGACACAATTAAAAACCCATCAAAAATACCAGGCTTATAATCTTGTACACAAGATGTGCGTTTCGTCTACATAAGATTCATCAATAAAGCTGGAATTAGTTGGAAGGCCAAATCAAATACAAAGTTGAAGAGCATTAAAAACCAAAAATTCAAAAAAAAATTTCCAAATAAAGCTAAAATAATCTATACCTGGGAATAGAATAACCAATGTTTTAAAATCAGTGTAAAAGTTTCCAATTAAGCCAAATTTTATTAAACAGAGGCAATCCTTTTCACAAACGTGACAAGAAATGTTTAAGTGTACACAGAAAAAAAAATGAAAAACACCCTTTGAGCATCCCATGTGTTTCTTGAATAACCTAAAAAATATAAAGTAAGGAAGACAAAATTAAAACTAGAGGCTCAAAAGAGCCTGTGTCGTTCATCTGCAACAATGGCTACTTTTTAGTAAAAATCATAATTAGATACCCCAATGACGATTGTGGCCAAGCTTGGTTAAATTTAGCCTAGTAGTTTCAGAAGAGAACATTTTTATAATTTTAACTTAATGGACAAAGATGAAGATGGAAGACGGACACCAAGTCATGAGAAAAGCTTACTTGGCCTTTCGGCCAGGTGAGCTTAAAAAATGTTTGAGGGCATTAAAACAACAAAGTCTAACAAAACAGCCTTAAATTGAATGACTGGTGTGTGTGTAAAAAGGAGATCAGTCCTGGAGAAATGGACCCTCATATCTTATATTAATAGTTCCTGTTGATTCATTATTATTCTTTGGATACCAATTTTCATAGGTTTCTTGGGTACAGGTGAACCAAGAATTTAAATTTTCAAGGAATTACACATTTTGTATAGGCTTGCATGCAGACACATGAAAAACCACTGAATCAAATGTTAATTATTAACAATGCAAGTTTTCTTCAATCCACAAAAATTGGTACCCCCGAAAATAAATGAATACAGAGTAAATGACATTCAGCCGTTTCAGAATTGAGCCACATACAAACTGCCACATACAGACTTTATAATGTGCTTGTAGTAGTTGCTTTTAGAGTCATTGAAGTGAAATTCCATGAATGTTTTGTGTGGAATTTTGTTTTTGCACCCGCAACCTTGAGAATTAAAGTCAGCGCTCTTACCAGTACAACTTATCTCTATTTAGTCCATTCCGGGAAAAAAAGTCATTAAGACAACTTCCAGTTTGGGTAATTGTCACAAAACAAAGGTCATCAGTAATGAGCTGAAGGAGGAAAACGTGCAGGAAGTGAACATTGAGAAATTTGTATAGTATATGATCCAATTATTTAAACACAAATTGAAGTAAGAAAAATGCTTTGTTTGAAGTCAATTTACAATGACTAAACATAACTCTTTGAAAAATTTTATACATAGCACATTGTTAAAACAGGGCACCAGATAGCTTCAACTGGTTTGAAAGAGTTGTGTAATTTCAGACCTCATCCAAAATGGAATAAATAGCGATAAGGTGTATTGAGCAAAAGAAGATTTTCCCAAAATCAACAGAGTACACCTCCCTTTACACATACGATTATACTATACTGTGAATTTTTAAATGATTGTCGTAACAGAAAAACAAAGGATGTCCTTTTAGTCAATTTTTTTTCCAAAATAAAACTAGTTTCCCAATTTTTCATATATAGCTTCCTGGAGACAGCAACACAATGTAAATACAAAATAAATGTATTTAGAAGTCAACAAACTATCTTTAAATGCTTTGTAACTTACCACCAGGAGTGTACAATAATGATTGAACAGTTTGTCTCAGACTTTCTCCAGAACAAGGGTCAATCCTATTGGCTAATAATGCTTTGTAACTTACCACCAGGAGTGTACAATAATGATTGAACAGTTTGTCTCAGACTTTCTCCAGAACAAGGGTCAATCCTATTGACTAATGTCTCTAGCGTTTCTCGTGGAAGTTCGTGTCTTTTCTCCTTCATGTATCGTGTGTAAAAACAGAGTTCTATCACAGCCTGCATAGGATTTTCATGATGAGTTGTGTCTTGGTCCTGAGAACTGAAACAAAATATATAGTGTTAATCATTCAATAACTACACTTATTTGGTTTTCTTTTTTCTTGGATTTCTTAACATTTTTTAACATTTGTACAACTCCTTTGAGTTTTCTTTCAAACTGTATCACCAACTTATACTCCATGATTATTAGCATTTATCATATACTTCATGCCTAATACAGTGCTTTTTGTATATGTGTAACGACCGGAAGAAAACAAGCCGTATTTGCACACCCGGCACCTCAACTATGTCTTAGGCTGATATGGGAGTCTGGGGATGATACCCTATACATCTATTCAATGTAGAATAAACAAACACACAGCAATATGCACAGTAAAACTCAGTTTAAAAGAAGTCTGAGTCTGATGCCAGAATAGGTAACAAAAGAAACTAAACAAAATGACATAAATTAACCAAGGACTATTAGCATTTATTAACATGCCAGCTCCAGACCTCAACTTAACTGATTGAAAAATTATGTCTTAATCATATGAAAATCAAGCACAATACCTCATGTTAGGAGTTTAGAGTCATACCATCATAAAATAAATGAGAAGAACATAACCTGTATCATGCCAGCTACTGGTTTTAGAATAAATGTGTTTATTTTACCCTATGAGTGAATCAATATTAATACCAAAATATGCCATCTTTAATGACCTGACAACAGTATCGTAACTATATCCCTTCTGAATAAGTCTGTTGCATTTTGTGCTTTGTAAAGATTATTACCATAAAAGATTGGATGTGAAATACCTGAACGTATAAGAAGTCTGCATGTTGATTTATATTTACTAATGATGTCCTTGTACTGATGATAAAATTAAGTAAATGTTTTGACTAGTTTGTGATATCGAAAACCCTGGTGTAATAATTTTTCAGTAAAACAGAGATTTATTTCCTTAAAGGGACACTAGCTGTCAAATTCATGTTCACCGATTTGACTCAAATTCTCAAACTTGATTTATAACATACTAAAACGTATATTCAAATTACAATAAGTCTGAAATAAACAGTTAACACTGCATGTACTCGATAAAACATATCACAATTTCGTGTGTATTTTAGTCTAGACACCCTCAAATTAACTTTCGAGATGACCACCGGAGACTGCCTATTGTCATATAACCCGATATAAACATAAACATAAGTATAAATAACTACCTACCTCGTGCAATTGGATTTTTCTAGGTCTGTTTGATCTCATGTTATAGGTTAAATAAAAAGTTAATTATCGTTTTTTTGTTGTGTCGTTGTTCTCCTCTTATATTTGATGCGTTTCCCTCAGTTTTAGTTTGTAACCCAGATTTGTTTTTATCTCTATCGATTTATGAGTTTCGAACAGCGGTATACTACTGTTGCCTTTATTTTACCTGTATAAGAATGATTTTTTTGTGGATCGAATAAGTCAACGAAATGGTTCACCTTTGTTTCACTTTCAATTTGACATTCTTTTCCTTTTAATAGCTGGCCACGATTTATACATACGTAACCAATCTTTATCTATAAGGTTAAATTGAAGGTCACATGAATACGGATTCAATGAGGTCGAATTATTCACTTGCAAGTGAATAATCCATCAGCAATGTTTCTTTGCTTATTTTTGACAACATTGAACCAAATTGGTTGCTAAAAACGAATTATTATTTCATCATTTCACTTATATTAATAATTGAACCAAACAAAATCATATTCTATTTATTTTCATATCTCGTAGCTAGTGTCCCTTTAAAATCAAATACGTTGTTACATACACGAGCGAATCGAACAAGTTGCGATATATAAACACCATAAGATGGATACAAGGGAACATCACCATCAGTGACCATCTCAAATAGGTATATCATTCCCAGGCATGACATCAAATGTCAAAGGAACAGAGACCCAGTGATCAAGAACATACCTTTTGAGAAAAGCATCAACAAGTTGTACATTATTGGCAGCTTTGTTTGCAGCCATGATGTCCTTAGTTCCTATAGAAACGACCTTGCCAGCCCATAATTCTTGTAGCAGTACAAACCAATGATCCCTTTCGTCCTTCAACCAGGCTGTGAACTTTGCATCATCTTGAAAACAAGTTTTGACTAAAGTTGAAACATAAAGCATGAGGTGAACATGCTTAATACTGTAAATTCAGAAATTATTGCATGCATTTATTATTGTGATTTTGTCATTTTGGACTAAAATGCGAATTTAATTTTAGTGATATTGAGAAAAATCCTATTTAATTTATATAAAAATATTCAAATGCGAGTTTAAATTATTGCGATTATAACCCTGTCGCTTTTGTCACAATAATAAAAACATCGCAATAATTACTTAATTTACAGTATGATAATAATTGAATTTACAACATCATTTTTAATCTGAATGACACGCCAGGAGATCAAAATAGGCATTTCTAAGGAAATCACTCAATTATATTAAAATAATTTAAACAGTTTATTCACTTTATTGTGAAATACTGCTTGATTTTAGCATTTGATTTGATGAATAAACATCGTTCAAAATTTCTGAGATTTGAACATTAGTAAAATACTGTTGCCAAAATTTAAAACTATTTTTTCCTTGAATTTTTCATTCTTGTTCTGAGTTTATTTCATTTTACATTTTTCTTTTCATCTTCTGAATTAGGTTAAACAAACAACAAACCTTTTTTGTGAATCCTAAGTACATCGATTGTTTTAAAGAAAGACTTCAGTTGTTTCTGCTCAATCAGGACAATATCTCTAATCTTTGTAACTTCTGTACACTCCATTGAACCATCCTTCATAAACAATAATCTGAAAATAATAGCAACCAGGTGAGACTTCTCATGGGGTTTTTATTATGTGATTACTTGGCCATTTTTATAGTGATTATTTGATTACCAGATCAAATATTTCATGATTATTTGATTATTTGATAATCTAGGACTGTTTTTTTTATTATTTGATTATCATGTTTAAAATTTTTTTTTATAATTAGGTGATTATATTGACAAAATATTAATGATTATGTGATTACTTTGACACCCTGAGAGGCCTCACAGGTGTGGATAATGTGGAGTACAGTGTTTCGAAATAGCAAACATATATTAGGGCTATCTAAAATACAGGTGAATGGATTAATTTTGCGCTAAAATGGGCTTTAATGTCTGCCCTAAAATGTCCCCTAGTAGTTTTAAATGTGCTGCAGCCATGATTACACCAAATGATTATTTCTTCAGTATATAATTATAGATTATCTTTGATCATTTCAACAAGATTGATTTTCTCGCTTGAGCCGGTATGTTGAAAGTGAGAAAAACAATCAAGTTGAGATGACCAATTATATTCTGTTTATCACTATTTTGCTTATGACGACATTGAAGTTTAAACTGAAAACAGCATGTGCGCCATTAGTTTCTAGCCATAATTTTTCATATCACTCTACTGTGCTCAGAAAGAAAATTTTCAGTCTGTAAGATCAAAGAAAAATCTTGTAAAATAGCGATAACATGGAATATACATCTATTACCTTTTATTAGTAAGCACAATTCTGCCAGACCCAACATCAGTTTTACAGAGTAAAGACAACTTCAGTACATATTCTTCATGATCTAAAATGGATTCCTCTACCATGAGACAATGCTCCAGATTCTCTTGATAACAATGATTAAATGTCTCAAATGTTCCAATGTCCACTTTATCGTCTGAAATTATATAATAAATGATTAAATGTCTCAAATGATCCAATGTCCACTTTATTGTCTAAAATTATATAATAAATGATTAAATGTCTCAAATGATCCAATGTCCACTTTATTGTCTAAAATTATATAATAAATGATTAAATGTCTCAAATGTTCCAATGTCAACTTTATTGTCTAAAATTATATATAATAAATTATTAAATGTCTCAAATGTTCTAATGTCCACTTTATCATCGAAAATTATATGATAAATGATTAAATGTATCAAATGTTCCAAGTCCACTTTATCGTCTAAAATTATGTCATAAATGATTAAATGTTTCAAATGTTCCAATGTCCACTTTATCATCTAAAATTATATAATAAATTGATAAAATGTCTCAAATGTTCCAATGTCCACTTTATCGTCTAAAACTATGTCATAAATGATTAAATGTTTCAAATGTTCCAATGTCCACTTTATCATCTAAAATTATATAATAAATTGATAAAATGTCTCAAATGTTCCAATGTCCACTTTATCGTCTTAAATTATATTATAATAAATGATTAAATGTCTCAAATGTTCCAATGTCCACTTTATCGTCTTAAATTATACAATAAATGATTAAATGTCTCAAATGTTCCAATGTCCACTTTATTGTCTTAAATTATAATCAGTATGCATCAAAGGAACATCTCAGAATTAGGTCATCTCAGTTTTTGCAGAAGAGACAATGAATATTCATTTAATTGTCAAATTGAGAAATTATTGCGTGCATTTATTATTGCGATTTTGACATTTTAGACTATAGTGCGATTTTAATTTTTGCAATATTGAGAAAAATCCGGGTTAATTCATAATAAAAATTTCAAAATGCGAGTTTAAGTTATTGCGATTATAACTGTGTCACATTTTTCACAGTAATATAAACATCGCAATAATTTCTGAATTTACAGTATATTGGTTAAGAAGATATTTTTTGCTGACATTTTGAGTATCAAATTTGCCAGAGTCTACTGTATTATATAAACTTCAAGTTTAATATATCTGACAAAATCAAAAGAGCATGACTTTTTGGGGGATATCTTTATCTATCTAGCAGCTTGGATAGGCAAGATTACAAGATCAATTGTCAATACATTGTCTTATTAGGAAATAAAATTCTATAATTCTTATATGATTTGCATATCTACAAATACTTGAATTGGATTGGTCAATTAGAATTTTTTCCTTGGTTTACACTTCGATAAACCATGTTTCCGAAACTACTTTCATAATATTCACTGTGATCTATTCATGCACAACACAAATGAATGCAGGGATCCGGGGATTTTCAGCAAATTGAGATTGAAAAACAAATACATAACAGTTGTTTTTTATTCTAATGCAGAGATAACAAAAAAGAAATAATGCATTAAAGCTTCGAAATGTATAAAATTTAAATTTAAATTAAAATTCTGCGAAATTTCACAAATTATTAAAGCGAATTTACGTCATGGCAAAACACGACGTCATACGAATGAAAACAAGCGAATTATTTTGTTACTTGTACACTTCAAATTCGAATAATATCTCATTAAAATGAAGTTTTTAGATTCTGTTTTATTTATCGAACATTTGTGGATTTTAGAAAGTCAATATGGCGGCCAACTTCTTATTTACTACCTGTCAATTGTGCATTTGATGGTAATTACAGTAGCCATTACACCTAAAAAATTAATTAAATTGAAATAGCGAATATTTGGGCAATGGCTTAAGAATTATAAGAATTAAACACTTTTTTTCTTGAGGTTATTGATGTGTAAACCAGGGCTCTTACTCACAAACTTAACATAAAAGACTTTTGGACTTTTATTCAGTTTGTGGATTAATCGCCACGGTTTACACATCAATAACCTCTAAAAAAAAATGTGTTTAATCTTATAATAAACACACATGAAAAACTATCTAAATATGTAGAAATCACGGAAAATCTTTATGATGGGAATGGGTGACTGATACGTACATCCATTATGTTGGTTTAATTCTAATGCATGATGGGAATGGGTGATTGATACGTACATCCATTATGTTGGTTCAGTTCTAATGCATGATGGGAATGGTTGACCTATACTTACATCCATTATGTTGGTTTAATTTTAAAGCATGATGGGAATAGTTGACCTATACTTACATCCATTATGTTGGTTTAATTCTAATGCATGATGGGAATGGTTGACCTATACTTACATCCATTATGTTGGTTTAATTTTAATGCATGATGGGAATGGTTGACCTATACTTACATCCATTATGTTGGTTTGATTCTAATGCATGATGGGAATGGTTGACCTATACTTACATCCATTATGTTGGTTTAATTCTAATGCATGATGGGAATGGTTGACCTATACTTACATCCATTATGTTGGTTTAATTTTAATGCATGATGGGAATGGTTGACCTATACTTACATCCATTATGTTGGTTTAATTCTACTGCATGATGGGAATGGTTGACTGATACTTACTTCCATTATGTTGGTTTAATTCTAATGCATGATGGGAATGGTTGACCTATACTTACATCCATTATGTTGATTTAATTTTAATGCATGATGGGAATGGTTGACCTATACTTACATCCATTATGTTGGTTTAATTCTAATGCATGATGGGAATGGTTGACCTATACTTACATCCATTATGTTGGTTTAATTTTAATGCATGATGAGAATTGTTGACCTATACTTACATCCATTATGTTGGTTTAATTCTAATGCATGATTGGAATGGTTGACTGATACTTACTTCCATTATGTTGGTTTAATTCTAATGCATGATGGGAATGGTTGACCTATACTTACATCCATTATGTTGGTTTAATTCTAATGCATGATGGGAATGGTTGACTGATACTTACTTCCATTATGTTGGTTTAATTCTAATGCATGATGGGAATAGTTGACCTATACTTACATCCATTATGTTGGTTTAATTCTACTGCATGATGGGAATGGTTGACCTTTACTTACATCCATTATGTTGGTTTAATTTTCCTGCATGATGGGAATGGTTGACCTTTACTTACTTCCATTATGTTGGTTTAGTTCTAATGCATGATGGGAATGAGTGACTGATACTTACATCCATTATGTTGGTTCAGTTCTAATGCTTGGAAAAGTCTCATCACAGTTTCCATATCTTGTGTCATCTCCAACATAGTAACAAATCGTCTAAATTCTTCAAAATCTAAAAAAAACAATTCTCTCTAATTGATACCATACATACAAATATTAGGAAATTGTTCAAATTCTACAAAAATGTTGTCTAATCTTGATCTCTAATTACATAAGTAATAGAAGGCTCCCTTAAAATCTAAAAGATTCAGAATAAACTAACAATATGATCGCGAAAAATTGTTAAAAGTCTTAACATTAATATGAATCAGCAAATTATTACAAAATCTAATTGCATACACTAACTATGAAAATTCTTTAAAAAATAAATATGAAAACCAAATCAGGAAAAATCTTCAAAAAACTTTCATAATATTAAACCTATGACTGATCAATCAAAATATTAAAATTTAATTAAGTTTACTGTAATCATATTAAAGTGAAGAAAATTCAACTGTATCTTGCAAATTCTTTGTCTATTTTTTTGTTTTTATTTTCTATCAAAAAGATTAGTATATATATATTCACAAACATTATTTCAGAACACTTTCTATCATATTTTTTTATATGTTACAAACTACTAACTGAGATCATGGTCAGGAAGTTTAACTGGTTCCTCAAACTTATGATGTACTTTTGGAGACTGGCTCCCATCACTCTCCAAATGTAACAGTTCAGAGAGATGCTGTATGCCTGGTCTCATTAAAATGTCATATTTTTCATCCTCTGGTATCTTCTGGTAGGCTTGTTTCACCATACTGAAATAATTTATTTTGAATGTAACACCTCTTCTGATTGGCAGACAGAGTTTTGTCTATCAGCTAATAGTCATAATTTTGTTATGTGACCATGACGTCATCACTATTTTTTCATGATTTACTCCAGCTTAACATGGAATTTAGAATTAAATTATTTAGAATGACTGTAATATTTTTTCTGACTATTAGAAACAACATAAAAAATGTGGTGCACACTTTAAAATAACCTGCTACCCAGGTTATTCAGTGTGCACCACATTTTTTATGTATTCATCATAGACAGAAAAAAAATTACAGTCATTCCTTAAATCAATTCAACTTTAATCTACCATTAGTCTGATAAAGCAATCTCAAATGTTTAATTCAGTAAAACATATGTTACAAGAATATGTCCATAGTACACGGATGCCCCACTCGCACTATCATTTTTTATGTTCAGTGGACCGTGAAATTGGGGTAAAAACTCTACTTTGGCATTCAATTTAGAAAGATCATATCATAGGAAACATGTGTACTAAGTTTCAAGTTGATTTGACTTCAACTTCATCAAACACTACCTTGACCAAAAACAATAACAAAAAACTTTAGCCTGAAGTGGGACAGACGGACAAACATAATGCCCATAAATGGGATATAAAAATTGCTCTTTGAAGGATATTTACAAAACTATTGTCAACTTCACTAAGCTTAGCAGCTTTCTTCAAGAAATTACTTTGCACATCTGGGTTTTCATAACAACAAAATTCGACAGAATAAACTTACAGTTCTGGTACTAAGGATATATCTATCTCTGCCTACTGAATATAACTTACAGTTCTGGTACTAAGGATATATCTATCTCTACCGACTGAATATAACTTACAGTTCTGGTACTAAGGATATATCTATCTCTGTCGACTGAATATAACTTACAGTTCTGGTACTAAAGATATATCTATCTCTACCGACTGAATATAACTTACAGTTCTGGTACTAAGGATATATCTATCTCTGCCGACTGAATATAACTTACAGTTCTGGTACTAAGGATATATCTATCTCTGCCGACTGAATATAACTGACAGTTCTGGTACTAAGGATATATCTATCTCTGCCGACTGAATATAACTGACAGTTCTGGTACTAAGGATATATCTATCTCTGCCAACTGAATATAACTGACAGTTCTGGTACTAGGGATATATCTATCTCTACCGACTGAATATAACTGACAGTTCTGGTACTAAGGATATATCTATCTCTACCGACTGAATATAACTGACAGTTCTGGTACTAAGGATATATCTATCTCTGCCGACTGAATATAACTGACAGTTCTGGTACTAAGGATATATCTATCTCTGCCGACTGAATATAACTGACAGTTCTGGTACTAAGGATATATCTATCTCTACCGACTGAATATAACTTACAGTTCTGGTACTAAGGATATATCTATCTCTGCCTACTGAATATAACTTACAGTTCTGGTACTAAGGATATATCTATCTCTGCCGACTGAATATAACTTACAGTTCTGGTACTAAGGATATATCTATCTCTGCCGACTGAATATAACTTACAGTTCTGGTACTAAGGATATATCTATCTCTGCCGACAGAATATAACTTACAGTTCTGGTACTAAGGATATATCTATCTCTGCCGACTGAATATAACTTACAGTTCTGGTACTAAGGATATATCTATCTCTACCGACTGAATATAACTGACAGTTCTGGTACTAAGGATATATCTATCTCTGCCTACTGAATATAACTGACAGTTCTGGTACTAAGGATATATCTATCTCTGTCGACTGAATATAACTTACAGTTCTGGTACTAAGGATATATCTATCTCTACCGACTGAATATAACTTACAGTTCTGGTACTAATGATATATCTATCCCTGCCTACTGAATATAACTTACAGTTCTGGTACTAAGGATATATCTATCTCTACCGACTGAATATAACTGACAGTTCTGGTACTAAGGATATATCTATCTCTACCGACTGAATATAACTTATAGTTCTGGTACTAATGATATATCTATCTCTGCCTATTGAATATAACTTACAGTTCTGGTACTAAGGATATATCTATCTCTACCGACTGAATATAACTTAAAGTTCTGGTACTAATGATATATCTATCTCTGCCTATTGAATATAACTGACAGTTCTGGTACTAAGGATATATCTATCTCTACCGACTGAATATAACTGACAGTTCTGGTACTAAGGATATATCTATCTCTGCCTACTGAATATAACTTACAGTCTTGGTACTAAGAATATATCTATCTCTACCGACTGAATATAACTTACAGTTCTGGTACTAAGGATATATCTATCTCTACCTACTGAATATAACTTACAGTTCTGGTACTAAGGATATATCTATCTCTGCCTACTGAATATAACTGACAGTTCTGGTACTAAGGATATATCTATTTCTGCCTACTGAATATAACTTACAGTTCTGGTACTAATGATATATCTATCTCTGCCTACTGAATATAACTTACAGTGGTACAAAGGATATATCTATCTCTACCGACTGAATATAACTTACAGTTCTGCTACTAATGATATATCTATCTCTGCCTACTGAATATAACTTACAGTTCTGGTACTAAGGATATATCTATCTCTACCAACTGAATATAACTTACAGTACTGGTACTAAGAATATATCTATCCCTGCCGACTGAATATAACTGACAGTTCTGGTACTAAGGATATATCTATCCCTGCCTACTGAATATAACTTACAGTTCTGGTACTAATGATATATCTATCACTACCGACTGAATATAACTTACAGTTCTGGTACTAAGGATATATCTATCTCTACCGACTGAATATAACTTACAGTATCTGGTACTAAGGATAAATCTATCTCTGCTGACTGAATATAACTTACAGTTCTGGTACTAAGGATATATCTATCTCTGCCGACTGAATATAACTTACAGTTCTGGTACTAAGGATATATCTATCTCTGCCGACTGAATATTACTTACAGTTCTGGTACTAATGATATATCTATCTCTGTCGACTGAATATAACTTACAGTTCTGGTACTTAGGATATATCTATCTCTGCCGACTGAATATAACTTACAGTTCTGGTACTAATGATATATCTATCTCTGCCAGTCTTGTTAAATCACCTAAAGCCTCAATTGCTTTATGATCAGCTAGGTAAAATGCTCCTCGTAGATATAAGTAAGAGGCACGATCTTGAAGGTCATTACTTTTCTGAAAAAAAATATTTCAAAGACTTTAAACATGTTAAATTCAGAAATGTTTGCATTCATTACTGCCATTTTATAATAATGGACAAACAATATCAATGATTGCAATTTCTGGAAATGTTGCATACAAATAAGGCTATCAAAACCTAACTTGAGGATCTAAAGAGTCTGTATTGTTCACCTAGGTCTATGTACATCTTCGACAATAGATACTCTCCTAAATTGTAGACTACAATAGACTACTTCCTGACAAAAATCTCTTTTTTTTTTGTTGATTTGAATTGCTGATAATTTTTTCCATTTACAGTTTTTCTCTATCTTCTTTATTTTTTGCCCAAAACACAAAAAAGGGTAAAAAAAATTGTTATTAATGGCGATCACTCCTATAAAGTGTCTATGAATGATTTCAGCAACATTTGCCATAACTGTATATCTATAACAACAGACAAAATCTAGATGTTGACACTGTGCATAATGATGACTGAATGAACAATTGTTGATCTATAGGGACTTATCTGCTATCAATCAATCAGCTGATCTATAGTGACTTACCTGCCAACAATCTAATCTATAGTGACTTACTTGCTACCAATTAGTCAACTGATCTATAGTGACTTACTTGCTACCAATTAGTCAACTGATCTATAGTGACTTACTTGCTACCAATTAGTCAACTGATCTATAGGATCTATAGTGACTAACCTGCCAACAATCTGATCTATAGTGACTTACATGCTACCAATCAGTCAGCTGATCTTAAGTGACTTACTTGCCAACTATCAGTCAGCTGATCTTAAGTGACTTACTTGCCAACTATCAGTCAGCTGATCTATAGTGACTTACTTGCCAACAATCAGTCATCTGATCTATAGTGACTTACCTGCTACCAATCAGTCTGCTGATCTATAGTGACTTATGATCTATAGTGACTTACTTGCCAACAATCAGTCATCTGATCTATAGTGACTTACCTGCTACCAATCAGTCAGCTGATCTATAGTGACTTACTTGCCAACAATCAGTTATCTGATCTATAGTGACTTACATGCGGTCAATCAGTCTTCTGGTCTATAGTGACTTACTTGCCAACAATCAGTCAGCTGATTTAAAGTGACTTGCATGCCAACAATCTGTTCTATAGTGACTAACTTGCCAACAATCAGTCAGCTGGTTCAAAGTGACTTACCTACCAACAATCAGTCATCTGATCTATAGTAACTTACTTGCCAACAATCATTCCACTGATCTTTAGTGACTAGCCTGCTACCAATCAGTCAGCTGATCTATAGTGATTTACCTGCCAACAATCAGTCAGCTGAACTATGGTGACTTACCTGCCAACAATCATTCTGCTGATCTATAGTGACTTACCTGCCAAAAATCATTCTGCTGATCTATAGTGACTTACCTGCCAACAATCAGTCAGCTGATCTTTAATGAATTACCTGCCAACAATCTGATCTATAGTGACTTACATGCTACCAATCAGTCAGCTGATCTTAAGTGACTTACTTGCCAACTATCAGTCAGCTGATCTTAAGTGACTTACTTGCCAACTATCAGTCAGCTGATCTATAGTGACTTACTTGCCAACAATCAGTCATCTGATCTATAGTGACTTACCTGCTACCAATCAGTCTGCTGATCTATAGTGACTTATGATCTATAGTGACTTACTTGCCAACAATCAGTCATCTGATCTATAGTGACTTACCTGCTACCAATCAGTCAGCTGATCTATAGTGACTTACTTGCCAACAATCAGTTATCTGATCTATAGTGACTTACATGCGGTCAATCAGTCTTCTGGTCTATAGTGACTTACTTGCCAACAATCAGTCAGCTGATTTAAAGTGACTTGCATGCCAACAATCTGTTCTATAGTGACTAACTTGCCAACAATCAATCAGCTGGTTCAAAGTGACTTACCTACCAACAATCAGTCATCTGATCTATAGTAACTTACTTGCCAACAATCATTCCACTGATCTTTAGTGACTAGCCTGCTACCAATCAGTCAGCTGATCTATAGTGATTTACCTGCCAACAATCAGTCAGCTGAACTATGGTGACTTACCTGCCAACAATCATTCTGCTGATCTATAGTGACTTACCTGCCAAAAATCATTCTGCTGATCTATAGTGACTTACCTGCCAACAATCAGTCAGCTGATCTTTAATGAATTACCTGCCAACAATCAGTCATCTTATCTATAGTGTCTTACATGCCATTATTAGTCAACTGGTCTATAGTGACTTACCTGTCAACAATCAGTCTGCTGATCTATAGTGACTAACTTGCCAACAATCAGTCAGCTGATCTATTGTGACTTACCTGCCAACAATCAGATAGCTGATCTATAGTATTGATTATGTATGTTCTTAAGCTGCGTTGTATACGCGGTAACTTGAAGATCTTTGTTTCTTTCCTTGTAAGTAAACCTGGTAAGAATGTGACTGATACTTGTTTCTTCAGCTGAGCTCTCCTATAATGATCATGTGTCTTCAATAATTAATTATACTACATAAATATATAATACTGTGCATTCATTATTATTCGTGGGATACCAATTTTTGTGTTTTACATGGGGCAAGGTAAACCATGATTTTAAAAGTTCAACGAATTTTCTACAGTCACATGTATGCAGACTTTAGGAAACCACAAAATCCAATATTCACAGTAAGCTATGGACATAGAATTGTAATAATAGAAATTAGGTGAAAAATTCACACAATCAAATTTTACGTTTGTAGAGATGATATATGCAAAAACTAAAAAATCTGCTCACAGATTAAAAAACATATACTTTAAGCAGGTTAATTTAGAGGGAAAAAAATTGAGTCCTGGGTTAATAATGTACAATTAATAGTTTCATTAAGAATAAAGTATAACAAAACTAACAAATCTTATTGACATCTATACTTTACCTCATAATGATGATGATGAATGGCTGTTTAATGTCCGGTGCAAAACTAACTGCATATATTCAATACTAGAACATGTAATTACACCACTGCCCCAGGTTAGGGGGTGGTTAAGAGTTCATAAACATGTTTCACCTTGCCACATTCTTTATGTGCCTGTCCTAAGTCAGGAGCCTGTAGTTCAGTGGTTGATATTGGTTCATGTCTGTCATATTTGTTTTTTTGTAAATTCTTTTGTTATTAATTAGGCTGTTAGTTTTCTCAATTGGATTGTTTCATATTTTTCATGTCCGGACCTTTTATAGCCAACTATACAGTATGAATTTTTTTCATTGTTGAAGGCCATATGGTTGCCTATAATTGCTTACATCAACTTCGTTTGAACTTTGGTGGATAGTTGTATCATTAGCAATCATACCACATCTCCTTGGTCTTTTGTGGGTAGTTGTCTCATTGGCAATCATACCACATCTCCTTGGTCTTTTGTGGGTAGTTGTCTCATTGGCAATCATACCACATCTCCTTGGTCTTTTGTGGATAGTTGTCTCATTGGCAATCATACCACATCTCCTTATTTCTATAATGTTATATGAACACTAACCCTGTTTTGTACTAGATTGACAAGCTGGGCCAAATTTTTAATGTGGAAGTTCACAAGGCTGCAGTCAGCAAGAAAACATGTCAGCCTACTGGGACACATTATTCTGACTTGGAACTGATACATGTCAGCCTACTGGGACACATTATTCTGACTTGGAACTGATACATGTCAGCCTACTGGGACACATTATTCTGACTTGGAACTGATACATGTCAGCCTACTGGTACACATTATTCTGACTTGGAACTGATACATGTCAGCCTACTGGTACACATTATTCTGACTTGGAACTGATACATGTCAGCCTACTGGTACACATTATTCTGACTTGGAACTGATACATGTCAGCCTACTGGGACACATTATTCTGACTTGGAACTGATACATGTCAGCCTACTGGTACACATTATTCTGACTTGGAGCTGATACATGTCAGCCTACTGGGACACATTATTCTGACTTGGAACTGATACATGTCAGCCTACTGGGACACATTATTCTGACTTGGAACTGATACATGTCAGCCTACTGGTACACATTATTCTGACTTGGAACTGATACATGTCAGCCTACTGGTACACATTATTCTGACTTGGAACTGATACATGTCAGCCTACTGGTACACATTATTCTGACTTGGAACTGATACATGTCAGCCTACTGGGACACATTATTCTGACTTGGAACTGATACATGTCAGCCTACTGGTACACATTATTCTGACTTGGAACTGATACATGTCAGCCTACTGGGACACATTATTCTGACTTGGAACTGATACATGTCAGCCTACTGGTACACATTATTCTGACTCACATTATTCTGACTTGGAGCTGATACATGTCAGCCTACTGGTACACATTATTCTGACTTGGAACTGATACATGTCAGCCTACTGGGACACATTATTCTGACTTGGAACTGATACATGTCAGCCTACTGGTACACATTATTCTGACTTGGAACTGATACATGTCAGCCTACTGGGACACATTATTCTGACTTGGAACTGATACATGTCAGCCTACTGGGACACATTATTCTGACTTGGAACTGATACATGTCAGCCTACTGGGACACATTATTCTGACTTGGAACTGATACATGTCAGCCTACTGGTACACATTATTCTGACTTGGAACTGATACATGTCAGCCTACTGGTACACATTATTCTGACTTGGAACTGATACATGTCAGCCTACTGGTACACATTATTCTGACTTGGAACTGATACATGTCAGACTACTGGTACACATTATTCTGACTTGGAACTGATACATGTCAGACTACCGGGACACATTATTCTGACTTGGAACTGATACATGTCAGCCTACTGGTACACATTATTCTGACTTGGAACTGATACATGTCAGCCTACTGGTACACATTATTCTGACTTGGAACTGATACATGTCAGACTACCGGGACACATTATTCTGACTTGGAACTGATACATGTCAGCCTACTGGTACACATTATTCTGACTTGGAACTGATACATGTCAGCCTACTGGGACACATTATTCTGACTTGGAACTGATACATGTCAGCCTACTGGGACACATTATTCTGACTTGGAACTGATACATGTCAGCCTACTGGGACACATTATTCTGACTTGGAACTGATACATGTCAGCCTACTGGGACACATTATTCTGACTTGGAACTGATACATGTCAGCCTACTGGGACATATTATTCTGACTTGGAACTGATACATGTCAGCCTACTGGTACACATTATTCTGACTTGGAACTGATACATGTCAGCCTACTGGGAAACATCTTTCTGACTTGGAACTGATACATGTCAGCCTACTGGGAAACATTATTCTGACTTGGAACTGATACATGTCAGCCTACTGGGACACATCTTTCTGACTTGGAACTGATACATGTCAGCCTACTGGTACACATTATTCTGACTTGGAACTGATACATGTCAGCCTACTGGGACACATTATTCTGACTTGGAGCTGATACATGTCAGCCTACTGGTACACATTATTCTGACTTGGAGCTGATACATGTCAGCCTACTGGGACACATTATTCTGACTTGGAACTGATACATGTCAGCCTACTGGGACACATTATTCTGACTTGGAGCTGATACATGTCAGCCTACTGGGACACATTATTCTGACTTGGAACTGATACATGTCAGCCTACTGGGACACATTATTCTGACTTGGAACTGATACATGTCAGCCTACTGGGACACATTATTCTGACTTGGAACTGATACATGTCAGCCTACTGGGACACATTATTCTGACTTGGAGCTGATACATGTCAGCCTACTGGGACACATTATTCTGACTTGGAGCTGATACATGTCAGCCTACTGGGACACATTATTCTGACTTGGAACTGATACATGTCAGCCTACTGGGACACATTATTCTGACTTGGAGCTGATACATGTCAGCCTACTGGGACACATTATTCTGACTTGGAACTGATACATGTCAGCCTACTGGGACACATTATTCTGACTTGGAACTGATACATGTCAGCCTACTGGGACACATTATTCTGACTTGGAACTGATACATGTCAGCCTACTGGGACACATTATTCTGACTTGGAACTGATACATGTCAGCCTACTGGTACACATTATTCTGACTTGGAACTGATACATGTCAGCCTACTGGGACACATTATTCTGACTTGGAACTGATACATGTCAGCCTACTGGGACACATTATTCTGACTTGGAACTGATACATGTCAGCCTACTGGGACACATTATTCTGACTTGGAACTGATACATGTCAGCCTACTGGGACACATTATTCTGACTTGGAACTGATACATGTCAGCCTACTGGGACACATTATTCTGACTTGGAACTGATACATGTCAGCCTACTGGGACACATTATTCTGACTTGGAACTGATACATGTCAGCCTACTGGGACACATTATTCTGACTTGGAACTGATACATGTCAGCCTACTGGTACACATTATTCTGACTTGGAACTGATACATGTCAGCCTACTGGGACACATTATTCTGACTTGGAACTGATACATGTCAGCCTACTGGTACACATTATTCTGACTTGGAACTGATACATGTCAGCCTACTGGGACACATTATTCTGACTTGGAACTGATACATGTCAGCCTACTGGGACACATTATTCTGACTTGGAACTGATACATGTCAGCCTACTGGTACACATTATTCTGACTTGGAACTGATACATGTCAGCCTACTGGTACACATTATTCTGACTTGGAACTGATACATGTCAGCCTACTGGGACACATTATTCTGACTTGGAACTGATACATGTCAGCCTACTGGGACACATTATTCTGACTTGGAACTGATACATGTCAGCCTACTGGTACACATTATTCTGACTTGGAACTGATACATGTCAGCCTACTGGTACACATTATTCTGACTTGGAACTGATACATGTCAGCCTACTGGTACACATTATTCTGACTTGGAACTGATACATGTCAGCCTACTGGTACACATTATTCTGACTTGGAACTGATACATGTCAGCCTACTGGTACACATTATTCTGACTTGGAGCTGATCAGTCTTTGCTCTTACTCTTTAATGCTGCATGCTTAGTGGAGAATCAGCCAATACCAATTTCAAGTCTTAAATATTTGAAATCAAACAGACTGTATGATGTAGGCCTCCTGTTGTCTATGGTTATTTTTGTTGTTGATTTATTGATTTATTGATGATCACCCCACGTGTCCTTTTATTTATAAAGAACTGATATCAGTGTACTTATTCTATGATCTGTACCACCTTTTATGAGATAACAGACTTTTTACATCATACATTTAACTATTAGCAAGTTTTTCTGATCCCCCGGCTTTTTTAACTTGTGGTCTTGTTAACACTTCTGACCAGTTATCTTGTTTCTGTAACATTCGTTCTTTCAGGAAAATCTTAAACATGTCTATAGTCAA